CAGGATTCAGGAGTGAAGCTTCTTAATGCTGCTCTGGAGAGTCCACATTGTACACTAGAAGTTCTGAGGTCAGATTAGTGAATATTTTATTTATTTATGTTGAATTATTTTAGTTGAAAAGTAAAGATCTTCTTTTTTTGTAGCTTAGCATTTTTAATATTCTTTAGTAACAGTAACCTGCCACATTTCTGTTTAAAATAAGGCAAAAATTTCAACCATTTCTGAAATATTAAATGTTGACAGTGGTAACTGCTGATTGCATCATCAATTGTTATAAAGTCAGTGTTTTGTTTTTTTTTTTGTTTTTTTTTGTCAGACTGAATTTCTGTAACCTCTCAGGGAAAAGCTGTGAAGCTCTTTCCTTAGTTCTAAGCTGCCCAACCTCCTGTCTAAGAGAGCTGGACCTGAGTGACAATGACCTTCAGGATTCAGGAGCCAAATTTCTTTCTGCAGAACTACAGAGTCTACATTGTACTCTGAAAACTCTGAGGTCAGTGTTTAGTCATTTTCACTCCATATAATTTGTAATTTGTATCATATTCTTACTTAAAAAGCTAAGGCTTATACAATTTTAGACTCTGAATTGCTGTTTATAAATATTTTTGTAAAAGTTTGTAAAAATTAGACTTGGAGTTTGGTTTTTTTTCCAGATTATGTCCTGTAATGAGCATACTAAAGATTAATATAGTACTAACTTCCTGTGATTAGTATTATTACAATTTAAATGGAGAGAACATATTTCTCCCATATTAGCTTGTCTCCATATATCCATATGTCTTCATATCTGATACTCCTACATTACCCTATTGCGGCACTTCACTGTCAGACAGCTGGTCAACCTCTGGTTCCTTGAGTTTCTGAAAGTAAAATGGGAGGTGCTCCCTTCAGATATCAACCTCCTCGCTGGTGGAACCAGCTCACAGTTTTGAATGAAAAGATAGACATTCTCTCTACTTATAAGATTAGACAGAAGACATTGGTTTATGATAAACCAAGTGAGGGAAAAGTCAACCCTCCCTAACCCTGGAGGTCTTCTCCTGGGAAAAATGAGTTCCTCCTTCCAGCTGTAGCCAAGTACTGCTCAGTAGGATGAGTGTGATTGTTCATATATGTGCTGTGATATTGTAGGGTTTCCTGCTGTACAACTTGAGACAACTGTTGTTGCTTTAAAATGCTTACTCAGTTGGAATGAATAAGGGTCCTTTTATCTGGAAAAAATGAAACCCGAGACCAACCTTCACTGAAGTGTTCATTGATTGATGTTTGTTTTGTGTGTCTGCAGTCTGTCAGGCTGTCTGATCACAGAGGAAGGCTGT